TATTCTCTTATTGTATAATATATATAGCCTGTTAATTTTAAAAGCATATTGTGACTTTGGTACATCTAATATGCATGCCGGAGTATCATGGCAATGGAGGGAAAAGAATTCTGACTACAAAATCCTGATCAAACGAGGCGAGAGTGCATTATCCAACCTCGTTCCCAGGCTCTTTGCTCTTGTGAAGCATCACAAGAGCAAAGAGCCTGGGAACGAGGTTGTGCATTATCATGTATTATGCTATTTAATTCAGTTAAGACGTTGTTGGAACATCCATCAAACATTTATTCTGTTAGATTAATCCAGTGCTTAAAATGTCCCCCGTAACAATATATGCGTGACTGCCAACTCTTATCAACTCTCATTCTCGTTTGACCAGGGCATAGTAACATGTCAAAGCAAGCTCGGGTTTCGTATATTTTGTATTTGTCAAATTCGTAAAGATTTCTTATGCAAATATCTTTTACATTTATTCGACTAATAGTTTCACGAAACCCATATTTAGACAAAAAAGTGACTTCAACGTTTTTAAAATGAATCTACAAATAGCAATAAATCGTTGCCCCACCCTACTCAGTAGTCAATCGACAATTTTAAAAAGTTGAAACAAAATATTATGAAACACGTCAATACACAATTGACTAATAAAGTATTTTCAATTGTTCGTAAATGATATGTTAAAACAGAGACAGGAGAAGCCGATATATAGTTAAACGTGAACAAGAATCACGTATAAATACAACACTGATTCACTGTTACACTTTTATTGTGTATACACAATCTCGTACCCAGAGCAATGCCTGTGCGCGGGCTAGGATGGCATTGGCTCTGGAGAAATTGACAACCGGAACCCCTAAATTTAGGGTTCTTTGTCGGCATGCACGATTGATAAACGTTAAACCAATCACAGCCATAGACGGATTTTGTGGGGGGTGCAGGGGGGTGCTATCCCCCCAATATTAGCTATAACCCCCCCAAACAAAATGTCCACCCCTCCAAAAAAATTTTCAACCCCCCCAATATTCGGCATAATAAAAAATAATTAAATAATCCACTCCAACGTGCAGAGTGTTGATGATACAAAATAAACGTAGGAGTACACTCAAATAGAAAGCAATATTATTGGAGCAATTGTAAAGTTTTGAAACTCTATTATCTCCCCTGAATAGAGTTTGCAGTGCCTTGTCATGCAAATAGCTTGCTTGCAAGGAACGTTTGGAATTTTTACAAACATTATTTTTCGTTTTTAATTCTTTTAGGTTTGTAATTCGTTTTTAATTCTTTTTAATTTTTTAATTCGTTGTTTATAAAAGTAAAAGCATATTGTGTATTGGCCTATTGGGTTTACACTTTTACAGGTTCATTTAACTTTAACTCTCTCAAGTCTCAACAGACAATCGGACACAGGGCCGTAGCGAGGGGGTGTTGGGGGGGGGGGGTGTGGTTAACCCCCCAACTTTTGTAGAATTAACATATTTGGAAAATCGGGTTGGCCATTCGGAAAATTACGGCAATAATAGTATAACAAAATTTTAATTGTTTAATTAAACAGAAAAAATATTATAATATTATAATCAGTATAAAATGATTTACGAAATCACGGCATTTACATGGATAACGTTTAACAAATCGTAAATCGGTAAATTTTTTTCGGTTTCAGTACTTCTCAGGGCCGTAGCAACCGGGGGGGGGGGAGGCAGCACCCTTACAATAATTTGCTGATAATCAGTCTTTTTTCAAAATCATGCACACCTTTATCATTTAAACAATTGATTAATTTTAAGCGGCTACATTATCCATGACAAACCGCAAAGAATTATATTACCCATACTCTTTCCTGCAACTTCTCCAATATATAGCTAAATACGACTTCGCCCATTTAATTCTGCTAAATTGTAATCAAATTGTAAATTTCGACATACTAAAACTCTATTAACAACTCAAACCGACTTTACCACGTAGCTCAGTTGGCAGAGCATTGGACTAGCATCCCAAAGGTCGCGGGTTTTATTTCCACCGTGGGCAAGCTAACTTTTCAGCTTCCCGGTGTGGATCAGTGGATGCATACTCAGAGTAACATCACAAACACCATATTCACTTGAGTACACAACACCAACACACACACATAAATCATATCAAAGATTACACTGATGTCGAAGGAACTAGATTCAGTTCCGAAATATCAACAAGTCGAACCGACTTGACCACGTAGCTCAGGTGGGAGAGCATTGGACTAGTATCCCAAAGGTCGCAGGTTCGACTCCCACCGTGGCCAGGCACAGTTTTCAGCTTGCCCACTGTGGATGCATACTCAGAGTAACATCACAAATATCATATTAAAACTCTGTTTTCTGACCATCAGAATTCTGTCAAAACTTCCCCCAAAGTCCAGGAAATGGCATTTCAGAGAATTTAAATTTAAAAATTTCCCCTCGTTCCCAGCCCCCAATCAAAAAGAGCTTCCTACGGCACTGCATACTTCTGTAATATGTCTTTGTGGAAACTATGTGGGCTATGTGTATTTTTGTTTGTAAATTGCGTCTTCATTTTCCAGATAGCAAACACCTTCGTTGCTTTGTATGCCATGAAATATTCGGAAATTTTTTTCGTCATTCGGAAATATTTGGCCTACACCCCCCACCCCAACTATACATGCTAGCTACGGCCCTGATCGGACAGGCCAAATCCATTGATATGACAACTTCAAAAAACGTTTTTTCGAAGCTAGAAATCATGATTTTTTTCAAATTTTTCCAGGGATACTTTGTTTTCTGCTCTCTAGACTCCCCCTCGCGGCTCTAGTGCTCCACCCCTAGAATATAGACCTTACTGGGGTTTGGTGACACTTTGTGTTGCTTCAGTCACCTGCTCAGGGCTCACCCCCCCTCAAATTTCTGGCACCACCCCAGTAAAAAATATGAAAATCCGTCTATGGTCACAGCACAGGAAAAATTCAATTTCCCCAGAGCCAATGCTATACTAGACCGCGCACAGGCATTGCTCTGGGTACGAGATTGGTGCCGTGATACTTTGAGTGAAATAATATTCGACATGAGCGCAGACTTCATATCGGGTCGTATTACATTTCGGAATTCTAACAACAACATCTTGAAGAATTTAATACGTCCTAAACAATAAGCATTGGCACTGAACGAAAGTGTGCGGTGAACCGAACCATATTAATATACGATGTGTATTTATGTACTTTAAAACATAAACATAATTGTTCCATATGAGTTGAGGAGTATTAAGAAATCGGCGCTGCATCATGTTCAGGAAACATGAACGGCAATGTCGATGCAAGGCATGAACGGCAATGTCGATACGATATCGCCGCAGCTATTACGTATGTCGCGTCAGCAACATTGGCGCTGTAGCCTGTGTTTCCAGTCCACTCGTTCGATTGTCTATGATTTTACATAGGGAAGTGTTTATGAATTATGGGCTTTCAAATACTAGTAACAATAATGCTAATTTGGGAAGCAAAAAAGAAAATATTTACCTATTACTTATTAAGGCATAATATTATTATTTGCCTGTGTGCTTCAAAATCATTCCGATTTTCACCAAATTTTCACCAAATGTTAGCCAGTGCATACAAAATATGATAAAGTTGTAAAATTGACAAACAATAAAATAATGTAAGAATTATTCAGGAAACTCTTAAGTCGCGGTACCTTTACGCTTTTGAGTTATGTTCCTGCTGGTTTTATTTACGAAAATATCATTTTTATACAGTAAAATAGTTGTTCTAAAAAATCGTGTTCGGAAATTTTTGTTTATGTCGTCATTCCGCTGATATGGCGATTTCTTTGACGACTGCAATATATTTCTGAAACGTTTGTGTGAATTGCTCCTTATTATTAAAATATACAAAATTCGAACAAAATCGAACACAATTTTAAAACTGACGTCTTTAGCTATGTCCTGTGAAAATCTGAGAAAAATTCGTTAAAACCCGCAGGAGCACAACTCGTTTAAAAATCAGTAATTGGCCGTAAAATTCTTCGGGAGAAAATTGAATTTGAATATTACATTTTCAATGTTTTTCTTATTGCAAGCGAAATTTCAACATTTTTCGTCCAAACTTGGTCAGATAGTAGAACTAGTCTAATGCTTTCATGGGAACTAGTCTAATGCTTTCATGGGAACCAATAAAAAAATTTTAGGCAAAATTAACACTCAAAGGTGTTCTGCAACCTTAACGGGCAGCACTTCGCTACCTTTTGGTATCCTAGTTTTAATTACATATTCGTTCGCTCTCTCACGGGATTAATTATGCAATCCAATCAGAATTCAGCTTTTGAGCATATTGGTTCGTTCTCGTGCTACTGGTTAAATATTAACTATGCTGGACCGCATAATTCGAAGCTGGGAAAGTCCCTAAAATGAAGTCAACAAACGTAATATTGAATAATATAAACGTCTGTTTTATTGCATTTGGGTTTATAGTCCTAACTGTGGTTTTAATTATCTGTATTCAACGTAGCTAACGTACAATATACAAGGAGTAATGGCGATGAAATATGGCTTAATTGTTTTATCTTTATACGGGACATTGGTGGTTGGACTCTTTGTCTACCAAGTTAATGTACAAATCAATATCCACAAGCTTGGTATCGATCAGATCGATCCCATGGAACATATGATAGACGTAATTCTAAAAGGCGTTTCACGTTCGATCATTCTGTGTGGTCTGGCTACATATTTTACGTGGATTCAGGTGAAAAAAGTCGTCGGTAACATGCGCAGCAAAATCTGCCATTGGCTCCTGTTGGTCTATTTCTTAATGATCATTAGCTATACAATCGATATAGCTATGATTAAACCGATGCAAGCGAAGCTTATGTTGTACTCAACCGATATCAGAATTTTAAATACGATATCGTCCAATGTCAGAGTTTTACATACGATATTTATCGTGCTTTTACCACTACATACACTAATTCCACTTTATATGTTTGGCGAAAGAAAACTAGTTATTTTGCCATATTGTCCAGCGATAATAGATATCTACGACGCCACTGAGATGTCAGACACAAACTTGAATCCAACAAATCCGGTGTGGGTGCAAATCACGATTTGTTTGGCTGTTGTCACGTTCTACACTCCTTCATTCTTGGAAATATATTATCTCAGATTTCCTGAACTAACAAATGGATCAACCTTATCGGAGCAAAGAGTTAGGCTTTCTCAATTTCTTTCTAGTTGTATGTTCCTCGCTCTTCGCGTAGTATTGTTAGCATACAACCCACATGAAATTGGTTTTGCTATCAAGACATCTATTAGACTGTACTATCATTACAAAACATGGTCAAATCTGCATCGTGCACCGAATATTGTTTCAATTCAAGAGACAGAAATCGCAAACGCATACAGATACAACGAAATACCTGTCGTTGTCATCAACATCACCGCCGACATCGACACAAGCATAAACTATAATAGATACAGATCTCTAAGCGTATAAAGATACAGAGAAACAAAATAGGGGTCGACGGTATTTCTTTTGAATTTTCCGTTACGCTTATTTTATATGCACTTGTTTAAACTAGACTTAATTCGGCATCTCACTCGATTGAATATTAATTGTAGGGTATTTTTCCAGGGAAGGGAGGTATA